ATCAATAAACGTCATGAAATAATAGGATACCCATGTCCCTTAGATTTTAGAGGCATGGGCTTCGAATGCATGTCACTGAGATTAGCAGCTAAGAAGACTTTCTTAGAAATATTGGCGATTTTTTTTCTTAGTGCACAAATTCTTCAAGAATTTTACATAAGTGAGGATTATTTGTTCAATTGCATCTAATAGAGGAGTGTTGACCTTGACATGTTTGAAAGTTTCTATGATTTTCTCTACATCGGTAGAGTTTTTCCTATGTCTTAGTCTGTCTGGAAAGGGAGCAATTGACTTATACCTATCTAGATTAGGTTCAGGCTCGAGTTCCGCTTCTTGGTTATCGAAAGGAGTTGATTTATCAGAAAGAGTGGTTGGACAGGAGAAGGGGTTTGCAACAATTGACTCAAAAAATAAATTCTCTCTTTAACCCATGGCACTAGTTAATTGACCAAATTGGGTTTCTAACTTAGCTGTGGATTGAGTGTTTGAGTTGAGCATTTGACTAGTTGTCTATATGAAGAAATTCAGAGTGTTGGATGACCGAATCAACATGTTGATGGTTTGTGTACAAGCTTTAATCATGGCATCTAAATCCTTTTCTAAGATACTGAGATGTCTATCATGATCAAAACTTGATGGAATAGGATTTACTGACTGATGATGAGGAGACTGGTTTGGATAGGTTGTTGAAAATTATTTGGTAAGTTGAATGAAACTGTGTTTCCTCTAGAAAATTGTTAGGTTGAAGTGGGAGTGCGGTTTTAATTTCTGGAGAAATTTTCCTGATTCATACAAAATTTAGGTGATTTTTCCGATCGAAATTGTAAGTTGAAGAAAATGGATCATTCATAGGACACTGGGTTGCAGCGTTTACTTGACCTAGTGGTCAACCTTGATAAACTGTTTGAATTTTAACCTATTGTCGAGGTATTTACAAAAGTTGAGATTAGTTATATGACGACTCGAAAACCTAAAATGGCTAACTCTACACTTGTTCGAGAATTCTACGCTAGTTGGGAGAGATCAACTGAGGATTGAACTTCTGCCATTATTTGGGGGATATCAATGACAATCACACCT